TCGCCTACTAGTGCGTAGTACAGTACTCGACGAACTCAGTGTCGATTCATTTGCGTTGTACCGGTACATCGTTGTTGTTCGAGGGGCACATTGGAAATGAAGAAAAAAGCGACGTTGTATATAATGCCACGCATGATGTTCGACACAATCTACATGTGTGCAATGTGAATTTGAGTGAATGCAGTAAAGCACTACTACGTAGTAATTCTGGGGCTTAACGACAAGTAGTACAAGTTTGGAATTTGAGCACTAGGTATGCGCATGTAGAAAGGAGATGCTCACCACCACCGATGTTGTTATTCAGCTTTGATCGCTTCCATTGTAGCGATGTGCACCCCATTTGATGTACGAAACCCAAAAGTTATACAAACCCTCTGTAGAACCCTCTACAATAATTACCCCCCAGCCCTATGGACAATGCGCATTCTGTATTCTACCGCTAGCGCACTCAAATATGCAATCTACACACTGAATCTCATACTTCTAGAGAATTCACTTAAACAATTACAGTATGCAGCGTGGGGGGATGCTGTGGAGTAGAATTACTGTGGAGGGTACCGAAGGGCTGTGCATGGTGTAAACTATGCAGGGGTTGCACATCGCTGCAATTATAACATCAACACTACGAGGTAATCATAATGACGTGAGGGGTTACTGTAGACATATTGGTTGTGTGTGCACCCTAATTTTGTTGTGACGGAGATATTACCTCATGGTGGAGTTGGTTGGTGTTGCCCACACCACCAACCAACTCCACCATACAATCCGCCATTCTTCCCGCAACACCCCATACACCTCTCGCACGTCAGGCTTTCGTCCACATGTCTGCGATGCTCGTCATATTCAACACAAGTACGTCCACGCATGCAGCAATACTACCAACCAAGGTCCACACCGCACGCAACTGTCAGTGTCCCTTGACAAGCATGTACTAGTAGCCATAGTCTAAACTTGTGAACAGGAAACCCAGGCATGTTCCAAAGAACCGCTTCTAACATTAATTGAAAAATAGTACTAGGGGTACTCGGAAACAAAAATCCACGTGATCGAACTCGGGACCCTTGGGTTGAAACACTGACGCACTAACCATTGAGCTGTAGATTCCAGTTATATTGTATCAAACAGAGCAATACACGGTTGTCATATTTATTTCCAGATGGCATCACTATACTCCACAAGTTAATTTTTCGTGTACAAGGATTACCTTTGTCAGGATATATGAAGTATTTGTACTCATAAGGAGCTGCACAGCCCCATCTCATCTTCCCATCTGTTGGACAGCTGGTTAACAGTTGCCAAAGTGCTTGAACGGTTTTCAGTCTGCGTTGGTCGGTATTCAGATTTCTTGAACAGGTTTTCCATGGTTACCGGGGTGATATTTGATATTGTCGCTTCCAGTTAGTACCGGCTCAAGGGGGGACAACTGATATCGTTGTTTACTGTTAGTACCGGCTCAAGGGGGGACATATGAAATCGCGCTTTACGGATACTACTATTAATAGTACAGTGATCCCTCATAATGATAATCCAAACTCACTGTCAATTATATTATACTCCGGATATATTTCATTTTCATTACCGTATGCTGCAACCATTCGAGTGGTTACAATGTACCGTACTATATACTGTACTGTAGTACCGTACTATATACTGTACTGTAGTACCGTACTATATACTGTACTGTAGTACCGTACTATATACTGTAGTACCGTACTATATACTGTAGTACCGTACTATATACTAGTACCGTACTATATACTGTAGTACCGTACTATATACTGTAGTACGGTACATTGTAACCGTAACCACTCGAATGGTTGCAGCGGAGTAATGAAAATGAAATATACCCGGAGTACTACGTAACGTTAGTACTTACTCCACAGTAGTTAATCGGACTACTACTAGTATAAGTTATTACTACGTAGTACTACACAGTAGTTAATCGAACTACTGTAGTAGTTCACAGTAGTCCGATTAATTTCATACAGGTAATATCTGTAACGTGCATTTTTTCGACAAGGGGACCAATACATGGACTAAACCTTCTTGGTCGATGTGACCAAGAAGGTTTAGTCCATGTATTGGTCCCCTTGTCGCAGAAGATTTACTACTGTAGTACTAGACTAGTAGTACGTAGTACTACTGTAGTACTAGACTAGTAGTACGTAGTACTACTGTAGTAGTCCAGTTCTTGGTCGCTGAACATTCATGTCCATGCTTGTCTAGTAGTTAGTACCATATGCTTCTTGGCCGCTTCGGGTGCCGTTTCAGCCTCTGAACTTCTAATTGGCTAAAACTCGACAATTCCGGATATCATTTCAGTTCCTATCCGGTATGATGAGGCGGGCACGCATTTTCACGATATTTTTTGAAATTCAGAGAGTCATTTTTCAGCGCACAAAATTACGCCCACTGCAGCGTAATATTAGCGATATAATTTTGTGCAGGCGGTGCCTTGGCGAGGAGTGAGCCCTATCGTACTCGTCACCGAGTGTACTATCGATACCTTTTGTTGGGAAAAGCGTCTCGTAGGCGGTAGATAAGGCATGTTCTACGACAAAGCACTTTTACTTGGAATTTGTATTGTTCACCATTTAATGGGTTCGTGCTGGATACCCCATACGGTTTCCACAGTACTTCAAGGCCGCACACCTACTAGTACACACCAGCAGGTCGACATAGAATTTTCAGACCAATAGTGATTTGACTGGTCAAGTCCCCGTAAAATTATGGGGATGTCCCCAAAATGTTCAGTTATTGGGACGTCCGAGCGAAATGGGGACAAAAACACCCGGATACATCCCCAAATTATCCGTAACTTCAACGGTACCACTGTTGTATCAGGTTTTGGGGATAGGGACATCGATATAGGGACTCCCGTTGGAGATGCTCTTTGATTGGCTCAGAAATTCATCCCCTCTGCGAGCAACCATCTCTGTAGTGGTAGTGAACCAGTGTTGAATTTGCTATCTTAGTCAGAATTTAACGCTAACGTTATAGCACCCTTCGTTCCCGCGCTCTGATATACCACACCCACTCCTCGTTCGAATTCGCTTTCACTGTACCCTTCGTACTTTGGAGTATCCAATAGAATCCGTCGTCGGAATGGGGTGTCGGAATGAGTATCTTTGGAATATTCATGGTATTAATAACACTTTAGTATTTACAGTTAGAAGAAATCTGGAAACAATCCGACATAACGTTAATGTTAAATTTCCGCATAAATAAATAATTCGACCAATAAGCGTAGAGTACAATGTCCGGAGACAATAACCTCAAACTTGCCATGGCTTCCACGCTTGGCCGAAAGAGTTGGCGAGCCCTAGGCGTGCATTCCCCAATTTTCTCCGATGAAAGTACCATCGTCGCTTGCTATCGCTGCCGCGTTTGCCGCCGCGTCTACGCCGGACCCCAAGTTCTACGGCATCAACTACGACACCCGTACCTCGGAGTGGGGTGGGTGCAAGGACACTACCGAGATCGACACGGACTTCGTGGCTCTCAATCAACTCACTGGTCGCATCCGCATCTACGGTATAGACTTTAACTGCACCAAGCTCGTGCTAAAAACCGCCGCCAACCGCGGCTTCAAGGTCTGGCTCGGCATGTCGAGCGAGGTCGGTGTGGACGCTTTGAAGGGGCTCGTGGAAGACGGAATGATCAACAACGACGACGTCCTCGGCGTCGAAGTGTCGAGCGAAGCCTTGAACCGGTACTACGTGCTAGGACCGGGCAATACGGCCGGCACCAGCGACCGCCATGGCATCGAAACCGTCCTCGACCACCTCAGAACAGTGCGAAGCTACCTCCGCTCCCAAAACTTAACGTTCCCCGTCGTGATCACCGACACCATGGACATGTACTCGATGTTCCCCCAGTTGTACGAAGCCGTGGACATGGTTGCTGTGAACCATTTTTCGTTCTGGGAGAACAAGACGGCGCAAGAAGGCGCGCACTTTACGTTCACGCGCTTCCAGGAACATCAGTTCCTCGCCAAGCGCGCTGGCAAGCTCATCGAGCTGCACGCGACCGGCTGGAGCTCAGTGGGTGAGGAACCCATCTCCTGGGACCAAGGCATCTTCACCCGGGACTTACGCAACCTGGTGGCGCTCCAGAACCTCAATTCGTACTACTTTACCGCGTTCGACTCAAGGTTTGGGACGAACAAGATTGAACGCAGTTTTGGCATTAAGGACGTGAACCGCGATATGAAGTTTAATATGCGCCTCCGAGTCAAGCCGCTCTATCCGGTTCGCCTCTGGGCGGCTGGAGGCAACGTGATCAAGGCGTACGGCTACTGGAACACCGACGACTCGGCCAACAAGAATCCTGGCCGCGTGTATGCTGCGAAGCCGTACATCGGTCCACCGGGCAACTTGAACGACGAGATATGGCAGTGGGATCTCGAGTATAACAGATTGTACTCCACGAGCTCGAATATGTGCTTGGAGTCTTTTGGGAACGAGGCGCGGACCCTGTACACCGCCCCCTGCTCTGAGGACGAACCGAACCAAAAGTGGAAATATGCGAACAAAACCATTGTGAGCCAGAACCACGCCAGGTTTTGCATTCACGTGGATGTGGACCACCCACCGAACGATGACGGGACCCTCGAGGTCGCGATATTCCCGTGTAACAGGCTCCCGCACCAGGAGATTTCCTTGCAGGGGACGTCATTCGAGGCCCTGGAGATCAAAATCAAGGCGCACGGCGGCATCCTGACCGAGACCTTGGGCAACCTGACGTGGCAAACCACCCGCGTAAAAGGCCTGCAAAACCTTGGGAGGCAGACGTGGACCTACAACCCCGTCACCCAGCTCATTGCGAGCAGCTCGCGAGATTATGAGAATCGCCATTGCTTGGAAGCGCCCTGGCGCATAAACAGCGCCCGTCTGGTCTTCAAACTGTGCAGCTCCGACGTCAACCAGAAGTGGGTCGTGAATGACATCACGGGCCAGATCCATCATGCGACGCACATTGGGTTTTGCCTCGACGGCCACAATAACGTCGACGGACTCGTGTACTTGGCGTGGTGTGATAAAAACAACCCCAACCAGCAGTGGAGCATCAAGCCCCTCAGGGCCTGAATATGGGGGGGATATGAGCACTTGGACTGTCTATTGCACTTGTGTAATGTTGTACTTCAAGTAATGTATTGTCGATATGATGCAAATTTGGGGAGGATCGCGCCGACCAAACCGATCCACAATCGATCTGATTGGTTGAATTCCTTTGAGAAGGTTTTGATTGGTTAATAATTTTGAGCTCATCTGAAGTAGCCAATCAAATCGATTTAACTTCCAACGAGAAACCACATCACAACACGAAATTTCACTCGAAAGCACAATACATCGTTTTGTGTTTATTCTAATACTTCAAGTATGTAAACTGGAGCGACATGGGGGGAGAATGGAATCGACCAACATATCCTCTTACTCAAAATTTGGACTTCAACATTGTGCTGATTCACCAAATCCATCGACCGATTCTTTGTACTACTGACTTATGTATGTCGAAATGTCACACTAATTTTGAAGTCACACACTAATTGACTGTGAATTGGTCAAAGAGTGGGTTTGATTAACTACTGTACGTAGTACTTGAATTGTGTTGTGGGTTTTGATTGGTCGATCGATTCTCTGCCGATTTATTGCTGCTCATTCGATTGAACACCTCCACTCCAATTTCGAATCGACTTGACAATAACCGAATAAATGTACAGAAGAATTGGTAGAAGTATGTAGCCAACCAGATTGCAGGAAACCATCATCAAATCTAATTAGTGTGAGGCTTGATTACGGTAGTATGATTCCAATCACCACAGGACAGCTTTTTTTACATTAACAGTAAGCGAGATCACACCCCGATATTTGCCCAATCAATATTTCAAAATTTGGTTTCATGAACCTCTTTTAATTTTTTGGCGAAAAATGCGAAATTTGTGAAAATATTGAATTCCCCAATTTTTTTTATCCAGACAGAGAATTTTTCGTTTTTTGCCGATTAATTGCAAATAGCCAAAATATCGAAGATTTTGGCCTTTTTTTTGACATCCAGACTCTCCCTAACCAAAACAGCAAGGTGAAATAGGCAATTTTGTATGCAGCGCAAGGTAAACCACCTTGCGAATTCCATACTACTACGTAGTACTTCAGCCCTGCTGGAGGAGATCTTTTTTCATATATGGACTCCAACCCCATAACATATTTTTGAAGTACTTTACCAAGAAATTATCCCATCAGTTACTTCCTAAACTACCCTGGTTTGCAAATAGTTGTCGATTTTGACTATGATATGCATGATTCCTCGAAAAATACTGATTAGTTTAGAGACCTTCTATAATTAAAACCGTAACTTATCTACAATATTATACTAACGTAATAAATGACCAATTTATATCACTGTACCAATTTATGATCACTCCCATTGAGCCAATCATGTCGAGGTATTTTTTTACCCCAAGCCTCCAATACATTATACTGAATGAACTCGATACATTACACATGGTAACCATGCCGAATCATCCGGACATTCGACGACTTGAAAATGGGAAAGTACCTTTCCCTGCCCCGCAGATAACCTAAAATTGCTAAATGCTTACTAGTACTGTATCATGGATAGTGTGGGTGCTTGTCAGGGTAATCACAGGTGTCGAAGACGACACAGACCTACCGTATTCCCCATCTAACTGTACCCAAGCATTATCGTTACCCCATACTTTCACGCGCGTAGATGCCATGGCTATTCACAGGCATCCGGGACTCCCGTTGGAGATGCTCTTAAAATGAAACGATTGGAACAGGTTATCCGGACCATGTGTTGGAACTGTCCGACCAAATATTCTTGAAATACATAACCTTGTAAACTAATATATTACCTGACCATAATGCATAATTTGTATGCATCAAGGTATACACAGTTCAAGGTTAAAATAGTGATCATAAATTGGTCCTCAAAAATAGAGTAAACTTGCTTGGAAAGTGGGCTTTTTGTATTAAAAGCACATCTTCAAATGTAATAATTTGATTATGAAGTGAAAGCTCTGTGTTCGGTTGTTAAGAATCACTTCACAAAATGTGAAAAGTCGTCCTGTGAGCCGAGATAAGCGAATTCTACGGTGACTACTCCGAAAAAGTGATCATAAATTGGTCATTTACGTTAGTAGATCGTAGTTACTCCAAATCTAACATTCGCAGGTCCAGCGAAGGAATACGATACGCGACCCTGGAACGATAAGGAAACAACCACGAAAAGCATGGCATGACTGGGTGCTATTGCGAAGTAGTAGATACACACAAGGGAAAGCCTTCGTGACAATCAAATGGAACAGTCACACAAAAGATTTGGGCTATTCCACATGTCAAGAAGGGGCACTTTGGCCGTTCTTGCTTTGGCCTTTTTCGCCGAGGTTCGGTCACTTACGGATAATATCCGGTCATCCGGAATTATCCGGTGTTCTCTTTCTGTAGAAACCGGACTGCTTATGCCCAATCATAGGTCAGCTAAACAGTCCGTTAAAAATCATCTTTGGTTTTGCCCTCGACCACACAAGTGTTCTTCGTCGTCGTTCCTCCCAGGTGCTATCCCCTTTATCGTCCCTCTTGACAGGTTATGAGCCTCCTCCCTTCTTCTGTGCAGCCCTTCGTGGGCACCCCACTCGACGACCTACGGCCTCTGGCCTACACCTTGTGGAAGACGGACTTCTTGTCCCAAGCGACCTCCCGCGACCTTGCTGAGTTCTACTCTACAATGGACTAATCCCCTCAAGGCAACCGCATTGATGCGCTCACCATCAGCAAGATGTACCTCGAACTCGATCAAGTCGAGCACTCTGAGCTCTATGTTGTCGACCCGACTCTGTCGGAGACCGATTGCGAAGCGCGTCTCGCTGAGATCAAGGCGCACACCACCGCCATCCAACGCGAGGTCATTGCCCGTGAGGCGACCAAGAAACTGGC